TTACAATATTAATAATAATAATTGAAGAATAAACTTTCATAATGCATTTTGTCCAAAATTTCATTTTTTGAGAGATGGCTGAATAGTATTCAGTGTTGAAAAATTCATATTATAAATTATTCTAGAATGTTCAGAAAGCTTTTATCGTCAATTTATATTAAAAAAAACCTAGACATTCGAAGTGCATTATGGCCTTTAACTAGAGACAAACAAAATGCATTTGTTTAACATTTGTAGCAATTGTTTAGCAATTTTGTTTAACATATCACATCCTATTGATTGGCATATTGTTATTTTCTATAAAGTGCACAATTTTCTTGTAACTTTCTTCTCTAATTTTTTGAAAATTATACATTTTGGACAAAATGCAAAGTTGCTCTTCAATTATATATTTATAAGCGAGACCGGGGATAATAGATTCATTTTTCAATTTCGAATTTTTACAGACGAAATTAAGAGACTTATCGAAAAAATAAATTCTACACCAGTTATTACATTTGACCATCTAATAATATTTTAATAATAAGAAAAAACTGATAACTGATAATGAAAAAAACAATTTTTCTAATGCATTGTTTTTTTTTCATATAGTTATCTGATTGAACTAGCCCCGGGACCGGGGTAAGGTGACTAATGGTATGGAGTAATTTGATTAACATTATTAAAATGAAGGTTAATGTATATTTAATCTTTACATATCAACAAAATTTCATAAAAATGTATTTTAAACATAAACATGTTTATAAAACTTTTATAAAAATGCATTTTAAACACAAACATATTTATAAAATAAAAAAAGTATAACTTTGTACTTTGTTATTAGATAAATAACAATTTATCTAATCCGAATAGTTATCCGAATTACAATTACAATAAACATAATAAGTTACCCTTTATTTAGAATCTATACATGTTCACAAAATTATCTTTTTAATTATTCTTAATGTTTTTACATTATTATTATTACAATACTTTTATTACACTTAAAAGTAATTTTACAAAAGAAAGAAGGATATATGAACATATATATATACATATATATATACATATAAAATTATATATGTTATGAATATTTATACATGTTTATGTATAAATGATCATAAATATATAGTATGATTTATTATATTATGTATGTTTATACATATTCATACATATTCATGCATGAAAAATTTCTTATATTGTATTAGGTGTTGGAATTAATTCGTAGCGTTTTACAAGTGATGGGAAGTACTTTCATTAATGTATTTTTTAATGCTCATGTGAAATAAATAACATTCTTTCATTTAAAAACGCTACGAATTAATTCCAACACCTAATAATATATTTATTATTGCACATTTTTATTATTAAAATTCATTAAAACTACAAAAATTATTGCATCATAAAAAAGAATACTCTCTGAATTCTTTTGAGTGAAATTTCAAAGAGAGTGAAAATACAGTTATGTATGGAACAGAGTGAGATCGTCCTGGTAAAAAAATTGATAGAAAACAATTGAAAAACGATAGGATTTTTATTAATTTGTACCGTTTTTCTGTAAATTTGTATCATTTTCTATTATTAACCTTATACCTTGCGAGAGCATCACGATTGATCGGATATAAATCCTATCTTTACCAAGGCGTAGCGAATGACAGGTTTTCTCACTTAATAAACTTTAACGATTAATATTTTGATTCGCAAGGCAGAACAATGCTTCTTTTTGCTAAATTCGTTTGTATCGAGCAAAAATACATTGAATGAACCTAGTTTTATCGAGATTGGATGTGAGGGAACCAAACTTATAACATTTACAATTCCACTGAGGTATTGTATCTAAATCTCTTTAGAGGAATGAAATATTGTCATTCTTTTTCAAGAAGTGAAACATTTTCACTCTTTTTCAAAACTGACTGTATTTTCACTCTTTTATAGTGAGATTTCATTCCAAGAAGTTTAAGAGTAGATACTATCAGAGTCGTCACTAAATTAATCATAGCCTCGTATTGTGATTAGCTTATTAGCCCCATTCGTTCATTTTTTATTAACATTATACGATAACAAAGACAAATAAACAAAAAAAATCTGTTGGACTTTATTAAGTAAGAACTACATTTACTATCTAAATGGAAATCAAATATTTCAGACAATTACATACGATTGTAAAACAAAAACTTTAAGAATAAAAATATATTTACGTATGATTTTTTTTTAATTGTAGCGTAATTTCTAATACAGACACATCTACGTCGTTATTTTAGTCCAAATTAAAGAATTTATTATTATTAATCTTTAAAAGTTTTTCTTTAACGAGAAGAGACTAAAAAATTAAAACGTGCTTTTGAAATGAGGTTTGTTGAAAAAGAGTATACATATATAATATAATCCTTTATGCTCATATTAAGAATTCTAAACCATAACTTTAGACATTTCTTAGTTTTTTAAAAATAAATAGTAAATACAAAAATTTCCGAACGATTAACTTGGCAAAATAATAAATATAATGGAAAAGAGAGAGAAGGTTAAATATTATTACAATATTTCAGGGTCATTTTTATGATGTATAGACGATATAAATGTAGTTTAGATTAATGCGATCCCATAAGTACAATGTTGGTGACTGCTGCATAGTCGAGTCCGATGAAATATAAATCCCGATTGTACTTATATTACCTATGTATATAGAAAAAAAGTCAATTGATTCTAAAATATTATAATACTTAACATTTTTCCTTCTTTTTCTGAGATTCATCATCTTGCCAAGTTTGAATCTGAGTTCAAAGTTTTCTATTAGAGGAAAGCCTCCTATTATGAAATAGGCGCGTATTATGAGATAGCGGCGTTTTTGCTAAACTAATAGACGTTATCTATTGGTTCCACTATGAATTTATTGCTCTTGAATCGAAAATTATTTAGTAGAAAATTCATTATTGGATCATGCCTGGTAATCATTGTAAAAAAAGATTTTAGAATTTGGATGTCTTCAAGTTTGATTGAATTGAGCCTTTAAACATTGTTTATTATTTAACAAATAAATATTTGGTAATAAATTCTTCATGTAGTGATAGAGTAAGGTTGTACTAATAGAAAAATACAAGATATGTTGAATTGCTTAATTAGAAATTAGATTTGATGATCCTAAAATCGTAAGGCGTGGAAATTGTAATATGAGATACCCAGGGTATTTCTAATATGGAATAATCCATACTTCGATATCATAGTGAAAATCGTTGCTAAAGTTATTGTATTATAATAAAAAGAACAACCGAAATGAACGTCGACTGCTTATTTCTGCGATACTTGATTCAAACTACCTGAAGGCGAATTCTGGGTATAATGTATCGCATACTCATTTTTCGCACATCCTGGCTGTGTTTGTTTGTATTTAAGAAATATTAAATAAAGTTTTTTTTAGTTACAATACTGATATACTTTGCGTTTTACTATCGATTTCTCGGGACATCTCATATTAGGAACACAATTTTTTGACTTTGGGATTTGCTCACTTTTTATATTTTTTTAATTTAAAAAAAATGGAATTAAATTAAATTTTATATAACATTATCTTAAAGCTTATTCCTTTCAAAATGACCTATTATTTTTTTAAATTCTGCCCATAAAGTTTTAGCATTTATCCAAAATGAACTCGGTTCTCATAATAGGAATCTTTCCTCTATTATTAGCTTTTGAAAAATCTAAAAAGTGTCTAAAGCTAAGATTTAAGATTCTTTGCACGAAAAATTATCTTTTACAACAAATTGCATTTAAAAAATGCGTTTCCACTTCTGCACGTCTTTCCCTTGTAAGACTTTTAATTATTTTTTTCTAATTTTTCTAAAAGTTTTGTATTATTATTTTTTAAAACGGGAAAAGAAATATTTTTAAAATTTTGTTCAATCTAAATTTTTCTTGGAAAGAAGTAAGAATTAAATATTTTAACGTTATCGATATTTATTCAAATTAATTTTTATTTCTCGCACATCTCAGTTCGATTTGATCTTTCTCGTAAAAATAAGTTAGATTTAATATAAAAAGAATATCAAGAAATAAAAACATTTTTTACCTTTTAAAATTTATTATTAAATTTATTTATATATTTAAATTTATTATAAATTTATTCTTCTAAGAAGAAAAAGATAATTATATATATCTTTTTAATTTTCTCTGGATAATAAAATTTTCTTGGAAAAATGAAAATTAAGTATTTCTGTATGTAATCAATCTTTATTCAACAAATTAATTTTTCATTTATCTCTCTCTCTCTCTCTCTCTCTCTCTCTCTCTCTTATAAAAATGTGCTGAGAAACTTAATATAAACATCGAGAAGCGAGAAATTTTTTTGACTTTTTAAAAATTGCTTGTATCTGCGACGAGATAACGTTTGCTTGGCTTTTATTCACACGACCCATTAATTTCCCTTTTAATTCGCGGCGTGGCGTATCCTCGTTGCGAAGTAACGCGGAAAAATGAGATAAAATCATACAACAGCGAGTATCCGCGATACCCTGCGATACTCGGATACTGCGATACCCTGCGATGCGAGTCTCGTCTCGTAGTAGGAGTGGCGATAAGAGTAAACACAACGGAACCAATCGTCGAAGAAGGGTGGTCCAGCCGCTGTTTGTCTTCTCGACCTTCCTCCGCTCCGGGGATCCGCCGCGGAATCGCATGGAAGAGCCTAAACGCCCGGTACACCCGCACATCCGCGGCCAATCGAATGGAGGTCCATCGTCAAGCCGGAAGAGACGAGATCTCGCCGACGCGGCGATTAGATTGCTCCGGTTCTCTTTTCGTGCAGTTCTAAATTAACAATCGCCAAGAAATCGCGCGCGGAAACGCCACGTGCCAATCTTAATCTCCAGTCTCGTGATTCTTGCTCTCGGAAACTTTAAACTTTTCGCTTGATAAAGACTCCATAGTTTTATCATATAATATCATAATAATTATATTATCAATATATATATATATATTTAGTTTATTAATTTTCTATAACGGCTCACCAAGAGAAATTGTGTAGACGTACATTTCGAAAGGATTTAAAATCTCAACGCAGACGTTTTTGCTGCTCGAATTCTCCTCCGACGATCAACGGAGACGTGCGCGAGTAAATAAACAAAATAATTGCTGGATCTTCTTTTCTGACACGATTCTACAACGAGATTGCCCGTGCCGGGCAATGTGAGCAGCCGAGTAAATAGAAAAAGAGAAACGATTGACTGATTTCTTGTGGTGTGGGACGCTACCATGCTCCGTGGTAAGAGCAGGAGCAGGTCGGAGAATAACGAAAACAACGAGGGAACGGAGATCGGAAAACAGCGGAGACCGAAGTGTGCCCGTTGCAGAAATCACGGCCTCATCTCGTGGTTGCGGGGTCACAAGCGGGAATGTCGTTACCGGGAATGTCTGTGTCCGAAATGTTCCCTGATCGCCGAACGGCAGCGAGTGATGGCTGCACAGGTAAGCCGTACATGGAAATTGCGAAATTCGATTTTGCAATATTCTATCCTTCAACTAATTCTAAAAATAAATTCTTTGTATGTATACAAATTTTATATATATATATATACATACCAATAGTTTCCGGTCAATATACATAATAATTTTATAATAATTTTGGTCCATTTGTTTTTTAATTTATTTTTTTATTTATTAGTTAATCGAATTCTTATTATAATTAACTTGAGAATTAATATTTTAAATACTAGAATATTTTAAAATTCTTGTATAAATCTTTATTCGTAAAAATTTCTCGCCTGAGCAATACAATAAAATTATTCATTGGTCGAGAATTTTTGGCAGCCACTTTATATTTCATGTATACCGACATTAAGAAATCAATCACATTTGTAATGAAAATGATGATTTTTTTTTATCAAAACAATTTATTAAAAAATTAAGTGAGCACTTTTAGTGTGCTAATAATGCATCAATTAATTTTTCAATTCTTAATACATATGATTGAGTTATTCGTGCGCATTTCTTTTCTTTGAAATATTAGAAGCACCAAGTAATTAATTATAACATTTATATGTGATATTTTTAAACACATACAACATTAAAACTTTCTAAAAATGTTAAAGATGTAAGAATCACTTAAGAATTTTTGTATATTTGTATAAAAATTAAGTAATGAAAATTAATCCGAGACACGAATAACCTATTGTATATAATAAAGGACCGAAAAATCATCGTATTGAAAGTTAATAAGGGTAAGTCAGTAAGGATAAAAACGACTTTGCTGAAGTAATCCTAAAAATTTAGTTAGATTTAAAAGATTTACATAGATTTAAAAATAATTTTATTGAAATTTTATATATATACAGGATGCGTCACCAAAATCCGGACAAATCGAACAATTTCTTTAAACAAAATGTTTTTAATGAAAAATTAAATATTACAAAAAATCCTTTTACATGACACTTAAGAGATCCCTATAGAGCACAATTATTTGATATATCTCCCATTAACTTGAATGACGATCTCTATTCTCAGTCTGAAGCGTTCGCAGGCATGCTGTAACGTAGCGCTGTCCATGCCGATGAATGCTGCCTCAATAGCAATCTTTAATGACGTCACATTGGGATGCCGAAACTTGTTTGTGACCCTTTCAACTACGCTCCATACGTAGTAGTCTAAGGGATTTAAATCTGAGCTGTTGGGAGACCAGAATGGAGCCGAGGCGAGCAACTCGGCTTGTCCTGGCAGCCTCAGAGAGCATCTGTCGTATCTTTAATGTGTACGAATTGTATCGAAGGTCCTTCTCGACAATCCGACGCATTGTTGGCTCGCTTACATCAACAATCGATGCTAATTTTCGCAACGATTGTCCTGAGTCATCCGAAATCAGCGCTTGAGCATTTCAACGACTGCGGGAGTCCTCGCGTGCATTCTTTCGAGTGACTCTTCCTCACTGGCATACTGGAATCTTCGTTGGACTGTTCTAAAGCCGTATATTTTGCCGCAACGTCATAAACGGTTGATCTTGAGTATCCAAAGAACCGAATTATTTCCGTTGCTGAGCGCCCAGCGCAAAGGCTTTCGATGATCGGCTCTTCGATTATACTCCGCACTTGGTTTCAACATCGCGGCCATTTTGAGAATGATTGTTTACTAGAAGCATGAGGCTTTCTCGGACGCCAACAACAACCTCTGGCGGAGACACAATATAGCGGAAAATTTAAATTGAAATATGTCTGGATTTTGGTGACGCACCCTGTATATATTGGATGTGCTACGCAAATTTTCACGACAGTGTCGTGTTCAGTGCGAGAAAATCTTCGAGGTATGTAATATTTCAAAGAGGAAAAAAAATGATTTTTTTTATTGAATTTTGCAGTGTAATTATGCAAAAATGTAAAATTCAAACAATTATAACTTGAAAGTAAGTGATCACGAACTAAAATTTTTTTTGAAAACTTTTAAGTTGTTTTAGTTCCTTCATCAAAATAATTATGTAAGAAACTCAAGTATGATAAGCAATATTACAAATAGACTGACAAAATTATTTTCAAAATCTGTATCTAGTTAAATTTTTAGCTACTTTAGTAGAATCGTTATTTCACTATGAGTCTGATACAATTTGCTTTCCTTTTCGATTTTTTGTCCAATATCTTACATATTTCTTAGCACGCATTCTCCCTGAATTCTTCTCTTTGTTTATTTATGCAAAATAACGGACAAAGTAACATCGTTCTACCAACAACGGTGCCATTATTTATTTGTATCGTTTTACGAGTCTCCTCGCTGTTTAATATTAGAAAGTTTATACGAACGACGCGATCCGAAATGTCAAATCTGCGCGATCATGTATCCGCGAATGTATGTAAATGTCACGGATCTCGCCCCGTTCATGCCGGCCGTCACTAATTCAGTATGCGCGAGCATGTTATCTCCGCGCTTTGAGTGGGATCGGTGAGGGAAAATGTGAAAGAAAAATGTCAATTCGCTGCACGCCCAGTTGAGCGTGATTAACATGCTTCCGATATTTTATTTCGCACGGTTCACCCTTCGGTATTTAAAGACACACTCGATCGGAGCTCGTTATCGTCATGTTCTGCATCCCTTTAATGAAAAGAGAATCGCGTCTCTCTCTCTCTCTCTCTCTCTCTCTTTCCCCCACAAAATGGAACAAATGATAGAAAATCGGCGAGATAACGAATACGTATATAAGAATAAAAATTTCCAACTTCTGTCAACACTTTCATGGATTGGAATTCTTAATTCAACATTTAACAGGGATGATTAATTTTGTGTGTCATGATTTTTATTTAACGGTGGATCTACTGAATCCACTCTCATTTATGTCATAAATATTAAACAATTTTCTTTATGTTATACATCTGTAAATTTTTTGATTATTTTTATTAAAATATGTTTTGAGTAAAATATATTTACTACTAAATATAGATACTAAAATTTTGTACAAGATTTTATGTCCTTTTGGTTCCTTAATTAATGAAAGTGAGCAATCAGTGCGTCATTATTTTTATATCGATTGCTATATGTTTACTCCCCGGAGCTGACAATAGGTCTAATGGATCCATTATAAACCGCTTTGTTGAAAAATGACAAAAAAATTTAGTTTTCTTTATAATATTGTACATATCTACCTCTTAATTACGTAAATTAAATGGACAGCGTATGTTACAGATTTTGGCATCAGCTCCGGAAGGTCAAACGCGAGGTTTCCTCGCGTTTTTCCGATAATCAAGGATTTATTTTCTCTTAACACAAACAGCCAAATGCGAACCGTGTAATTGCCAGACCAGATCGAAATTCGGACATCGCATGCATAACGCATCTCGCGGTCTTCGTTCCCGAGAGAAGAGACAGGAGCGACAGGAGGGGGCGAGATAAATTAAATCCATTAACGCTCGGGATATAGCGTTTCATTTCTGTTTGCATAGGCATTATGACACTCGATACTTTGTTTGCGGCGAGACTTTCGATGCGGTAAGCGCGCGGGAGCGAGCGGCGTTTAAACGCTACCCCCTGTATCTTGGAACGAAAATAGTCGGACAGACCGAGAAACTCACACGGGTGGTTGCGGTCAAATAAAACATGCGTTCACGACCGTCCATCCGGCAATAATCGCCGGTGCACCGCGCAATTTTGCCGCGGAAACTTTTGCGCCGCGCGTGAACTCGGTTGATCCACGATGATTAACGCTGTCGAAAGTAATATCAACAGCTCAAAGAGATATTATTGGAATTATTTATATATATGCGTGCGTGCGTGCGTGCGTGCGTGTGTGTGTGGTGTGTGTGTGTGTGTGTGTGTGTGTGTGTGTGTATGCGGAAAGAATAGTTTTGCTCAAGTATTAAAAAATTTAGCTAGACAAGTCTGTCTGTTATGATATGTTATTTTGAATAACAGTAAAATTGTTGTAATGAAATGATTAAAATCAGACATATGTAGAAATGAGGTAATTTCAGGCTTTCTATTTAAGGAAAATTTAGCTGTACTACGCGTGAACATTCGAATACAACTTAATTCTGACGAAACGCTTTATATTTAATATTTTTATATTAAAAGTGTCAGAGTTTGCAAATTATCGCCGTGTCGTGATCCGTTGTTAGTACCAACGTTTCGTGAAATGATTTCTTATCATTCATCTAAACTTCGCTTGTCTTAGGCTGGGTTTTCACTTGACGCTCATTTTCAGTGTCAAAACAGGTCACGTGATCAAAATCAATGCTTGATATTCGTCAATTTCTATCACGTGACTTATTTTGACGCCGAAAATGAGCGTCGAGCGTCGGCATGAAAAGGTAACTCCGAGACACTACCGTGTCTCCAGATATCAGTTACGCTCCTCGTCCTGATAGAGTGAACGATAAGATTCGCGAAATAACGCGAAACGTTGGCATTAGCAATGGATCACGATAATCCGTAAACCCTTTGGTACCTCCGAAGAAAATACCCATAAAAGTCTAACGAAAGTGTGTACTTCTACATTAAAATAAGTTAGAACTAAAATAATTTGTTTTTCTGTAACATATAACATTTGGCTATTTGATTATTAGAAAATAATATTTTAAAAGATACAATTTTTACTAAAAAATACATATTTACTGTTTATTTATATTGTATTTTCATTAATGTGAAAAATATAAAGTTTATTATAAAGGCAATTTACACCGTAATATGTATCTAATGTGTCAATTTATCAGGGCAAGAAAAGAAGTTCCCTCTATCATGTTAGTACATTTTAAACATAATAATTAATTGTTTAAAAAGTTCAGGTAGCACTTATTAATTATTTTATATATGTTTATATACAGTTCCTAAACGTATCTAATATTCTACAAGTGTAAATCAACATGCGCTACTGGGAACCAAAATTGTGAAAACTGTGCCAACGTTCCAATCTCCTTTGCTTCGGCAAAACTGTTCTTTCCATATACTATTAAAAAATTTCGTGTAATATTGCAATAACAATAATTAATTTTAAAGTCCACAGTTAAAGATGTATATTCATACAATGTAACACAATGTTACACTACAGGCAAGTGAAGTACTTATAACTTACAAATGAAATTATTCTTCTTTATAGTAATTAAACAATTTGCAAAAACAAATTTACAAAAACAAATTTACAATTAAAATTAAGTTCATAGATTTACATGATAATTCGCCAACAAATTACATATAATTGTTTCATAAGCAATGCTGTCGATATGTACGAAAGATGCAAAAAAATGCAAATATATTACGTGTGATGTTACTATTATGAATTATATGTATAATATTGCAAAAATTTACATACAAAAACTATAAAATAGTATAAATGCTATATATAAAAATTATAAAAATTATAAATTGTTATTGTATTTTTCTAATATAAAGATATATTACACAATTAGAGATAAAAATATTAATTTTTATAAAAAAGTACAATTTTATATATTTTCACTATAAATTGTGTGATTTTTATATATTATTTATATGTAATTTTAGATACTTTTTTTACAGAGTACGTATCTATGTATAATGAAATGTTGATACGCAGTTTTTACTGAATTTTACGTTTGTACCGCAAGAAATTGACACTTATTATTATATAATATAATAATATAATCTCATAAACTTCAAAGAGCATGGAATAAATTATTCTTTAATAAACATCGAGGACACGTCATCATTAATATAAATCGCAATATTAATTGTACACTGATTGAATTTTATGTCGTATGACTCATCGACGTATTTCCCTAAATAAAACTTTGTAGCGAATGCTTTTTTGTAACAAGCAGAGGAGAGAGAAACACATGGCGATATATTGACCCGTCCCGAGTGAAATCGGATAGTTATCTCTTTCGGACTTTGGTGATCGTACGGAGATCGACAAGAAAATGGGATGAAGCTGGCCTAGTAGATTCTCTCCAGCATCAGCGACGTGAAAGATTATTGCGGGTGGTCCAGCTTGGAATAACAGCGTGGTAAATGCGGCCCATACATAAGCGACAGGTCCATTTATAAGTCAAACGCAATCATGATCCATCACGATTCGATTGTTATGCGCTATGTATAAGAATCTTTATATACGTTGAATGTTTCGCCATATTAATTATAGCATGGAACTCGATGAATCGATACGAATATTTTTACTTATTTATTTACTTATTTATTTACTTATTTTTACTTATTACCATATTTTTACTCGTTCTCCTCTTTGTTATTTTATATGACTTTAAATTATCTATTTCTAATGTCTAGAGAGAAATATTTTATATCGAGATATTTTCTGTTAGATTTATACATTTTAAGGGACTTATTTATTATAGATATAGGTATACATTATTCATATATTAATATTTAATATTTAATGAACTATTTTCAGCATATGGAAATATTTTCAATTAGAATATTTTTTCTTATATTCATGTATTTTAAAAAATCTGTATATATAAGGGAGAATGGAGTAAGGACCTATATTTTGTAGTTTTTGTTCTCTATAAGGCGTAAATAAAGTCGGATCGTAAAACCGATCCGTTGGAAAAATCATTTAATTTCCTTCATTTTTGCTTTAGACCATTTTGATGTATTTCTCGCCTATATTTAATTATAATGGAAAATATAGAAATACTTTTTCCGGTCCAATTTAGAACCAATAGTTCCAAATCAGACATTCCTATTTTTATTGATTTTTAGATAGAATTTTAAAATATTTTAATGTGTTTTTGTTAGTATTGAGTAAAAATGAGTAATTTAACACAGTCTAAGATAAAAATTTTATTCAGAAAAAAAATTAATGACAATTTATATTTTATTAAAATTGAAATCAATAAAACTCTATTAATCTGAGTCTGATATTTTATTGATTTAATTCTTTGGACCAAATCTGGTCGGCTGATCATCAGTACTACAACCAAGCCTATAAGTTATCTACTGTATTGTAGGTCCGATTTGGGCACGAATTTTATTTAAAAGGTATTAAAAATTTGAAAGGTAATTGATTTAAGATAATTAAAAAATTAATTCCTTCCGAATTTTGGAACAAATTTTACAATAAACCGCAAAAATGATTACAAAACGCTTGATATTTTTGAATTCTATACTCTTTAATTATCTTAAATCAATTACCTTCTAAATTCTTAACAACCTATTAAATAATAATTTACAAAGATTTTCTTTGTAAAAAAAATTTTCGCAATACATATTTCTGAAAATACATATTTGCGTCTATTTTATGAATGCTATGACAGAGAACTATCAAACTGCTGTCATATGTCTTATAAAGACTTTACATTATAAATAGCCCGCAAATCTGCTTAATCGAATTCATTTAAATTAAAAAGGTCCTATTTGGAATACAGTCTGATTTAGGCCACTCTCCCTTGTATACATATATAATATATATATTCTCTAGTATTATCAATTTCTCTTTCACGATATCTTTCTTTGCTTTTACCAGAATCGTGCAAAATACGTAAGATAATTATGTCTTTGTTAAAATTTATTGAATTTTTAAGAAATAAGTATATTAGAAAAAATTAAATTTTTTTTTGGAAATGGATTAAAACAGTTGTTTTCGGGAAGGTTGCTCTGAAGAGACAACAGGCAGCCGAGGACGCAATCGCTCTTAAAATGGCAAAGGTGGCCACCGGACAGAAGCTCGATCGACTTCCGCCAGGCAAAATCTTCGGAATGTCCGTGACTGAGCCGAAATCTATGGTGGATCAAAATGAAAATGCGACTCCCGTTACAAAGAAACTTGACGGAATTTCTGAGGATACCAATGATCTTCCACGTGTATCGACCGATGACGCTTTACCTGCTCGTGTTCAAAACTGTTCCGTACGTACAAAACAGAATCATCAGAAAAAAATAACAAAATGTGACAAGTCAATTTGGATTCATTGTTAATTAATTCTTTGAGAACGTGCGATTACTTATATTTCCTTTTTTATTTATTGTTTTCATGTAACTTGACTATTGGATTAATTTAACTAATAATAATGATGATTTATATTCAAATCTGACGTCAAAGATAAACTTAAAATGACGGATTCAATATTGCGTGGACAAAATTAAAAAAAAAACCAATTTAAGCAGAGAAAAAATCATAATAACATAAAAATGGCATAATAACTAAAATGGCTCCAAAATAATTGTTAAAAATCACTTTTCATTTGATCAATCACGATTCATTTGAATGTAATTTAACATTATCATAGCTTATTGTTTTGCTTGGGTCATCTCATTATCATAAAACTCAGTTTTAGAGACTTTAACATTGCTAAAAGCAATATCAAATTTCCAGTTTCACTTTACTTGAAGCTGATTTATTACATAAACAATTGGTAACTGACCCTTAGAAACGGATCACAACGAGTGATTATAAGTGCATTAACTTCCAAACTTTAACAAGCTTGTGAATGTAAGCTTTGTGACACGAGTTCTTCTTTCATTACCCTTTCGAATTTTGATATTTTTAGATTGTCTAATGCACCCTTGATTACAAAAAACGTGTTTAATAAAATGATATCAAATAACACATATTCGGTTTACAATATTAAGATCAATCCTGGTAGCTTCAATACAAAATTTGATATCTCAAATACCAACGAGAAATGGCTCATTAATCTGAGTAAGGTTGACATTCCAAATAAAACTAAAATAGTTTTACAATTGGGTCAACATTTTAATTTATCTAATAATTTAACGAACAAAGAACAAATTACACGTGAGTTCATTAAACACATCGAACATAATTTGTTTAAAACTGACGAGGAAATTTGTAAATCGGTCAGAAATGAGACATTCCACATCCTCAAGTCAATTAATAATTGTGATACGGAATCGGCTGAAAACAAAATTATACAAGAAAGTATAAGAGAGGTTAAATGATTCATCTCAGAGAATCCTGAGATTTTAATCATGTGTTAATCAATGAAAGCGGACAAAGGAAACACTACGGTAATCATGAATCGTGAAAATTATTGGGAGAAAATGTATAAAATTCTTAATGATCAGACGACATATAAGGTAATAGATAAAGATCCTACTAATAAAAATAAATTTAGAAATTAGGAACTTATTAAAAAATTGGAAAAACAAGGGATACAGTGACCCAAGCATATACAAAAATTATATGTTTCTGATAGTGAACTTCCGAGATCTTACGGACTGCCAAAAATTCATAAAGAAGGTCATCCACTAAAATTAATTGTTAGTTGCATTAACAGCGCCTTTTATTCACTGGCGACCTTCTTAAAAGAAATTATCGATAATAGTAATAATAATAATTTTAGTTATGTAAAAAATAGTTATGATTTGGTTGACAAACTTAATGGAAAAGTTATCGAAAGAAATTTTAATATCATATCATTTGACGTGGTCTCCATGTACACTAACATTCCTAGGGATTTAGTATTAAAAAGCATTGAATGTAGATGGAACTGGATTGAAAATAAGACTTCGATTCCTTTGCATGAGTTTGTTAAAGCAGTTATGATCATAATTAACTCCACGTTTTTCAGATTTGATAAAAAAATATTTAAGCAGATTTTTGGCATGCCAATGGGCTCTCCTCTATCGCCTATACTAGCGAATATAGTCTTACAAGACTTAGAACAAGAAATTTTCACTATAAATAATATCATCTCTCCGTTTTATTTGCGATATGTCGATGACATTGTGTTAGCTGTACATGAGGAAAAGATTGAAGAGGTTCTAGATTTATTTAATTCATACCACGACAGACTTAGATTTACGGTTGATTTTGGCGATGAAAACGGTATTAATTTTTTGGACGTTAAAATAATGATTCAAGAAGGAAGCATCATCTTTGATATGTATAAAAAACCTACCAATTCGGGGAGATATTTAAATTATTTTTCGAATCATCCATTAGCACATAAAAAGGGAGTAATCATTGGGCAGCTTGATAGAATTTTAATGTAGTCCCATCCCAAATTTCATGAAAAGAACATTTCGGATTTAATTCATTTCACACTCTTCTCAATAATGGCTATCCTCTCAAATTCGTATTTTCGACGATTAACAATAGAATAAAAACTTTGGAAAATAGAACTAATCCAGAAAAAAATCGCGAAGTAAATAATAATGAATATGATTCCAACAAGAAAAAA